AATTGGTTGTCATAGTAACAACACTAATTTGTGGAGATTCAGTGCATTGAGTTCCACAAATCTGAATGCATTATTTGTAAATTGACTGTTAAGATAAACATTTTGCACAATTTAATATCTGTAATATCATTGTGTTGCCACTAGATGCCTGTATAGCCCTATGTAACAATCCCTAGTGGCTAAGACATTGCACATAATTTACACATAAATCACACAAAAATTGTTTTTATTACATTTTGATTTGGATACTATTTACTATACTACTAGTATAGTATATAGTAAATATATTTACTCAATGTTTAAATGTAAACATTTAAATCAATGTTGTTTCTTGAAACATTGATTTAAAGTGTCAGTTATTGCATTATTATTTCAGTCAAACCTATAAAACCCCTTTGTTACCCCAAACTACATTTAAAAGCTTTATCAGTGGCATAAAAGTAGCCAATGCAGCTACTTAATGATTTGCTACTCGTTAACGCGTTAACTTCCCCATTAAATAACGTGACGCTCTGCCCTCTATGACGCTACTCCCATTAAGCGCTGTTGGAAGTGAATGAATTGATTCAGCATTTCGACACCTCCGTAAGCATTTAACTCGACAAAGCGGTTTAATAAAGGATGTATTGATCTCGTGAATTAGCGAATTTTACTATACAAATATTTTTTAATTGGATGTTAAAGTTTATATGGGGATATTACATGACACGCTGATCCTTTAACAATGCATTGGTGCAAAAAACGCACACCTTTTGGACAAATCTGCCACAAATATTTGGACAAATGTGCCACAAATACTGCCTAAACAAAATACTGATTTTGTGCACTTTATTTACTGTACCAATATTTTAAATTGGCCTTTGAACTTAGCTTTATTGCATTTCACTGACAGAGCCCACTGATCTAACGGCGTTGTTGAGCGCTCCAAATGCAAACTTTGCATGTAACAATCAGGCAGCAATTGACAGCACTCTGATCTAGTGGCATACAGGCATCGTCAGATTGACAGCACTCTAGCCCAATAATGTTGGGGGATCCAGTGGGGGCAGCAGTCATATTTCAGGGTGACCATCCCACTCTTTATCACAACCCTGCTAAAAGTGCCAGTACGTGCGCTCATTGACGCCCCTTCAGCTGGTGGCGCCCTAGGAGACCGCCTAGCTCGCCTATGCCTAGAAACGGCCCTGCACACACATAAACAAAAAACAAGTAGATAGAATAGAAAAAATAGAAAGCTAGTGTTTGTTTTTTGTTGTTTTTTTAAATAAAGAATAAAAAATAAAAAGATAAATATAGATAAAGTAGAATTAAAATAGAATAGAAAGTGTTAGAGTTAGAGGGTCAAATAAAGGTGGAACAGATGTGTTTTTAGTCGTTTCTTGAAGATGGTTAAGGACTCAGCTGCTGGGATTGAGTTGGGCTGGTCATTCCACCAGGAGGGAACAGTTAATGAAAAAGTCAGTGAAAGTGATTTAGTGCCTCTTTGAGATGGCACAATAATACGCCGTTCACTTGCAGAACGCAAGCTTCTAGAGGGCTCATAACTCTGAAGTAATGAATTTAGGTAAATGGGTGCAGAGACTTTTGTAGCATAGAAATACACTCATAATAATGTTACTCAAACAGTCATTCCATTTTTCCTGACTTGTCCAGTTATTCATAATTTTTTATTATTTTGTTGTTTTAGAGAGAATACATTCACAGATAACACTGTCTAGCAGATAAAATGTTTAGAGATTAGTAGACGAGTATAACATTTAATTAGTGAATACATTTTAAAGAAATGTAATTTAATTTGAATGCATTTTAATTTAGATTTTATTATATTTGCATTCATTTTTATTAGAGAACTTTCATTTTTTAGGATTTTATTATTTAACTTCAATAAATTCTAAATTAATTTATAATTTAATTAATTTATAATTTTATTTTATTTAATTTACATTCATTTTCATTACAGAGGTTTCCATTTTATAGGAACATTTTATTAATTTCCAAGGCTTTTCCAAACCCTGAAATTTATAAGCTAAATAAGTTGTATTTAAATAAATTGTAAATAATTGTAATTTCAAAATTACAATTGTAAGTTACATTTTATTTCAAGTTCAAGATTTTTCCAGGTCTGGAAATGTAGATAAACATAAGTTTTTATAAATTAAATCAATTTCATTTGAATATTTTATTCAAATAAAATTGTATTTATTTAAATAATTTTATTTCATTTTAATTTAAAATGAAATCATTATAATCTTATTTTATTTACATTTACTGTCATCATAAAAGTTTCTATAATATTTTTAAAGTTTTAAATAATTTAAAGCTTTATACATTTTTATGAGTTCAATTCTTATTTAATTTAAAATCATTTTTAAAGACGTTTCCAGGTCTGGAAATCACCATTTTAAAATGGCCAGATATTTCCGTATCTCTATGACGGCAGAAACCTTGATAAAAAGAAACAGATCGGTGATAACTTATTCAGTGCATCTGCTGCAAACCAACAGACGGCATCTAAGGAACTGCATGATATAACGCCGAAATTATGCTGATAGATGTGGAAAGGAAACTGCAGATTTTTTTCTTTTTGACTTTCATTAGCAGGTCTGGATTTCAGAGTCGCTGCCAATCGGAATTGATCCTCGGAGAGCCGGCGGGGGGATCGAGAGGGTCTTGAATCAGGCAGGTGTGCTCGGAAGTGCATTTCAGCGGCAGGACTGGATATTACCACATTTCAGAAAGACACAGAAGGAGAGAGAGAGCGTCTACAAATATAGCCGGTGTGTTTTGCCCTTGTGAAGTCCAACGCTGGCAGGGCAGAGGGGAGAATATGACACATCTCTGCCTCCCACCAGCGTCTATGATTACCATCCGCTACTGTTATACAACAGCGAGGACTGCACACCTACACACACATCCCACGCGCCTACATCACCTCACACACACACACACACACACACACAGCTCGCTGCGGCATCTTCGCGCAAAACTATGGAACCCGCGAGCATCATTTTCCAGCTTATTAAACAGCTTTGTTTTGGCACTGAGGAGGACAGCTGTGATTTGCTGTTCATGTGTTGTGTCATCACTTTTCAAACCACAAAACAGTCATATCACGAGAAATTAAGAAATTTTTGACTTTCATTAGCAGGTCTGGATTTCAGAGTCGCTGCCAATCGGAATTGATCCTCGGAGAGCCGGCGGGGGGATCGAGGGGGTCTTGAATCAGGCAGGTGTGCTCGGAAGTGCATTTCAGCGGCAGGACTGGATATTACCACATTTCAGAAAGACACAGAAGGAGAGAGAGAGCGTCTACAAATATAGCCGGTGTGTTTTGCCCTTGTGAAGTCCAACGCTGGCAGGGCAGAGGGGAGAATATGACACATCTCTGCCTCCCACCAGCGTCTATGATTACCATCCGCTACTGTTATACAACAGCGAGGACTGCACACCTACACACACATCCCACGCGCCTACATCACCTCACACACACACACAGCTCGCTGCGGCATCATCGCGCAAAACTATGGAACCCGCGAGCATCATTTTCCAGCTTATTAAACAGCTTTGTTTTGGCACTGAGGAGGACAGCTGTGATTTGCTGTTCATGTGTTGTGTCATCACTTTTCAAACCACAAAACAGTCATATCATGAGAAATTAAGAAAAGATACTACACTATATATCATATAAATGCCTTCCACAGCTTTTACAGAAACTAAACTCCAAATATGATGCATTACAAACTTCCATACATTTTTAGCCAGCAGATCGAGGAATAAATAATTATATGACCACCATATACTGTATATGACAGGCCAAAAATTTGGAGTTGGTAATATTTGTTAATATTTTCGAAAGAAGTCACCAAGGCTTATTTTGGTCAGAAATACAGTAAAAACAGCAAAATTGTGAAATATTATTACAATTTCATGTAAGTGTTTTCTATTGTAATATATTGTAAAATGTAATTTATTTCTATGACAAAGCTGAATTTTATTTTTTTTATTTTATTTTTTTTTTATATTTTTTTTAAATATTATTATTATTATTACTTTCCAATAATTTTTTCAGGCCCAGAAAATTACCATTTTAAAACTGTAATTTTCTATGACACTAATAATGTTATAACTTTATATAAAGTAACTGAGAAATGTAACTTACAACAGCAATCATTTAATATTGCATGATTTTTCCAGTTTTCATAATGAATGGACAAACATAATTTTGTAGTTTTATAGAGAATACAATAACAAAGAACAATGTTTATAAAATAGAAAAGTTGATAAAAAAAAAGATAAAGTAGATTAGTAGATAAGCATAACTTATTATAATTTTAAATAATTTTAATTTACATTTGAAACAATTTAATAGATTTGACTTGAAATAGAAATATTTTGTAACATTATAAATGCATTTACTGTCAACTCGATTTAACTAATTTTTAGTTTTATACTTCACCTTTCTTTACATGAAATTAGGTTTTATTAATATGTGATTAATCTCAAAGACTTTTCCAGGCCTTCGAATTACTATTTTAAAATGATCAGATATTGCTGGGTTTCTGTGACACTTATACGGCCGATTTCACAGACAAGGCATAAGCCAAGTCCCAGACTAAAATGTAAAAAGTCTGAGCCGTTTCAGCTGAAAGAAACTTACACTGATTGATCTTAAAACATGTCAGTGCATGTCATTTAGTTTTGTCTCAAGATGCACACCAGTAATGTTTTTACTAAGGCGCGTTTATAAAAATGACCTAAATGTCCTAATTGAACTATGGCTCAATCCTGGCTTAGTCTAAGTCCTGTCTGTGAAACCAGGCCATAATGTTATGACTTATTTTTATTATTTTGTTTTAAAAGAAAATAATAAAACATTTAAAAGATATTTTAATCTTTTGTAACATTATAAATGTCTTTGCTGTCACTTTTGATCAATTCAATGCATCTTTGCTGAATATCTTTGCTCTTTTCTTTATTTAAAAAATTAATTTAAAAAAATCGTACCGACCTCAAAACTGTTGAACAAAGTTTACATGTCACTATTATTACAAAATTATTATTTACATGACATTATTATTACTAAACACCAGAAGAACTCAAATAAAAGAGTACAAAAAAAAATTCAGAATGCTTCACTTTTGTGGTTTAATTTCAATAAATGATCATTTTGTACTGGAAAGAATGTTTTGAGCTCTTAAATTCACAGTATGATTTGCAGAACACCTTTTAGCCCCCTAATGTGTTAAATTCTTACATTACGCTCATTTTCGAGATGCTAATGACATCTAAACATCCTCTCGGAGTGAGCGGCATCTGTGCTCATCACCTGCGGTGGGCTCTTAAATTCAGCCCACATCTCTCTCCCGCTGTGTCCACATGCGACTGTCTGTGACTCACACACATGCCAGCGGGAGTGTGTGTGTGTGTGTGTGGACTCTACCTGTTTCTGGTTGTTGAGGTGCATCTCTCGGTCGGCCACCTCCCGGCGCAGGCGCTCCACGTCCTGCTTGAGCTGCAGTCTGTCCTCGTTCTCGTCCGTGGCCTCGTCCAGCTGTTTGGACAGGTAGAAGTTCTGTCGGTTCAGCTCGGAGTTTTCCTGCGTCAGCTGTGTCAGCTGCTCCTCCAGATCCGTGATCACCTGAGACAGGCGCAACAAAGATTATGTCAGAGTAGTTCAAAAAAAAGAAAAAGTAAATCTACAATATTTGGATATGAGAAAGTATTTTAACATTACATTTAAATTTTTTTTTTTTATATATATATATGAAGAGTTCATTTGCAAAAACAGATAACTCCGTTTTTAACAATTCTCAGAAATCATGGTTTTTCATTGTGCATTCCAATTAATCTCCATCAAACTGCAGTTGGGTTATTTTGATTAAGTTAAAAATAACTAAAAATTACAGCTAGCTAACACAATAAAAACATGATTACATAATAAAAAGCTTTTTTAACAATATACACTATACCATTCAAAAGCTTGGAGTCAGTATAATTTTTTTAATAAATTGTTTCTTTTTTTGGGGGGGGGGGGTGGTTATAGAAATTAATACTATTATTTAGCAAGGATGCTTTAAATTGATCAAAAGTGATAAGATATTAATGTTATTTCAGATAAATCCTGTTCTTCTGAAATTTCTATTTATCAAAGAAACCTGAAAAAAATTATACTCAGCTGTTTTCAACATAATAATAATAATAATAATAATAAATGTTTTTTTGAGCAGCAAATCAGAATATTAGAAGGATTTCTGAAGGATTCTGTGACTGGAGTAATGATGCTAAAAATCCTGCTTTGAAATCACAGGAATAAATTGTGTTTTAAAATATGTTTAAATAGAAAACTGTTATTTTAAATAGTAAAAAATATTTCTAAATTGTACTGTTTTTGCTGTACTCAAATAAATGCAGGCTTGGTGAGCAGAAGAGTCTTCTTTAAAAAACATTACAAATCTTACTGTTCAATAACTTTTGACTGGTAGTGTACTCTGAACTTCATCAGAAAACCTTCTTTGACTAAAGCCCTTTTTAGAAGCGTTTTCTCGTTTCACTTCACACATTTCCAAAGCCTCCATCTGACAAGCAGAAGAGACGCAGGTTTGCATGAAAATGCAGTGCTGGTCAAGAGTGCCAAGCATTCCTCTGGTGCGGAGGAGGTTTCTGCACTCATTATTATTGTCATTACTTTTAAAGGCACAGCGCCACGCTCACAGACACTGACCCACTTTAACTACTGACCAAAACACTTTTTACCCAGCTATAGTTTATTTGCCCTGTGTTGAGCTTTTTATCATCTTTCACTGATTGAATTCAAAAATGCATCTGTTTGCCGCCTTCTGAATGGTTATTTGCACAATGCCGTGTGGTTGCTAGGGTGTTATGCTTGGTTGCTAGGTAGTTTTTATTGTTCAGGTAGAAATCTGATAGCTTAGAAAGGTAGTAGGGTAGGATGAGGGAAGATGCCATTGTGCACTTTTAAACAGCAGTGTATTTAGATGTAAGTTAAGCATGTGCAGGATGATGGTGATGCATCAGCTAATGTGTTAACGAAAATAAGTAGAAACATTTGCTCATTTAGTTATCATAGCACAAAATGTAAAATTATTCAAAGATGCCATCTTTTATAGAAATACTATCATTTATTATATTATACTACATTATATATTATAATTTTAAGTGTGATTAATGTAAACTATTAAATCAACTATTCAATTGTTTGGAAAATTATTAATACAAAAAATTATTTAGAGGCCATCTTATTTAACTTTCGCAGAATGTATACATTTTTATATATATCATATTATTTTATATTAGTATACAATTATATATTCATATTTTTTACCTTTTCATTCATGTAAAATACTAAATCAACTATCAACTATTCCATTTCAATCTTTAGACATTTTTAAATGTCAAATTATTATTATATAAGCCACCTTACCTCACTACCTTTCAATGTATGCATTACTTTTAATATTATTCTTATATGATCTTATATTATTATACTTCAAAATTATAAGTGTCTTTAAAGTAAAATACTAAAAAACGGTTTTATTTATTTATTCATTTATTTTTACATTTATTTGAATAACTGAATAACCAATGTCAGATAAAGCAGAATCCCACTAAAAGAGATTCATCTGAAAGGTAAATTATTATATGACTTATGTAAAGGAATATGAATATATACGTTTAATTTCTCATATTTAAGTAACAATATTCCATAACAGCAACACTGTTATTTCAAACTGAATGATTTCACTCAGTTATCCTATACGGATGTCTAAAATGAAAAACCCAATAAATTACAGTAAGTATTAAAAAATAATAATAACATAAGATGCCACTTGGGGCCTTCTGGGTCTAATGTTATCTTTTCATTAAAAATCAATACAATATTTTGCACTCCATAAATCCATAAAACAACGTGCCCACATTAGCAAACAGACACACACACAAAACCTTTGATATTCAAATTAATATAATTATTTTATATATTTTCTATATACGTATTTTCTAGAAAAATATTAACCTCAAAACTGTTTCAAATGACTAAATCTCACAAATTCTGATATTCAGATGAAATGACAAAAATATTAAGAGCATATCTATTCATTGAATAAGATTTATGCCATCTATGATCAAGAGAAACTTTAAAAAAAAACATCTTAGCAACCACAGCACAACACCCTAGCATTGTTTTTAGTGTTGCGCAGGCATTGAATATGCAAATAAAAGTGCAAAGGAATACAATGTTATTTTATACCCTTACTATACAAAATACAGCTCAAAAATTGAGAAGATCAAAGCATGTTTGGTGGAAAGAAGCCGTCACCAGGGGCTGGGATCATAAGAGCTTACGAAAGACCGATCGAAGAGAAAACGCTGCTCTCCTGTCTGTCTGTCTGTCTGTCTGTCTGTAGTCCCACCATCAGCAAAACTCATCGAGACTGACAGCGAGGCTTCAGACACTTTAAAGCTGGGAATAACTATTACTAGCACTCACACAATCCCTTAGCCATAAGTGTGAGCAATAGTGATAACTATGCTTGACTTGCCATACATACAAAAACAAATCCATATGTTTTCATTTTAATAAGAATGAAATTCGCATTTCCAAGTTTATACGTTCATCTGAGCTCCAGTTATGATTGCAAAGGAGTATGATGAAGGAAAAATGTAATTTAACTCCTCGGCACGGTGGAGAAGATGGGCGTCTAAAAACAGCGCTGGGACCGGGTGAGAATATTGCATCGGTGGAGACGCTCAAACAGCTTGAGTGTGGGTGGACAGTGAAAGTAGGGCAGAGATGCTCTGTGCTTGATAAGAATGAAACACACTCCAGGGGCAACGCAAACAAAAGCACTTCAAAATGCAACCGTTCCCCAAATCAATGACTGCTGGAGGAGCAACTTTCAGGATGCTTGAAAACAGATGCATTTGAAAATAAAATGGTGGACAGCATTACTTTCCACTAACAAAAATGACACAAATTTGTATAATAACATGGGTATGACATAGGTATTACAACGAGAAGGTGATATATGAGGACATTTTCAGTGTCCCCATAATTCAAAAGGATTATAAATAATTCAGAATGAGTTTTTTTGAAAATCTAAAAATGCAGAAAGTTTCCTGTGAGGGGTAGGTTTAGGGGTAGGGTTGGTGTAGGGCAATAGAAAATACGGTCTGTACAGTAGAAAAACCATTACGCCTATGGAGAGTCCCCATAAACCATAAAAACAAACCTGTGTGTTTGTATTACAACAATTTGAAATAACTATTTTCTGTGATCCAAGCTGAATTTTCAGAATCATTACTCCAGTCTTCAGTGGCACACGATCCGTCAGAAATCATTCTTTTTTTGAAGTTGCTTTGGATAAAAGTGACAAATGCAAAAAATATATAAAATATAAATATATATTTTTCAATATCTTGGTAAATGGGTTGCATGACATGATTTATTAAACTGCAACAGCAGTGTGACATGCTATTCTTCATCTAAAATTATTTTAAATTATACTTTTCTAATTATTTTATAAATGTCAAGAGTACATGCCATTTTTATGAGCTCCTTTTAATTAAGAGATCATTTGTCACCCTGCTGGGCTATTTAAATGAATTGAAAAAAGCTTGATTAAAATAATACAGATCTAGTCACTGATCCAAAAGACACACTTTACCCTTTACACTTCAAGTTTTTTTTTTTAAAGACATTAATACTTTTATTCAGCAAGGATGCATTAAATTAAATCAAAAGTGACAGTAAGCAATTTTTTTTAAATGTGTTACAAAATATTTATATTGCACATAAATGCTGTTCTGCATGTTCTGCTGTTCTGTTAATCATAAATGTTTTTGAGCTGCATATTAGAATGATTTCTGAAGGATCATGTGACACTGAAGACTGGAGGAATGATGCTGAAAAATCTGTTTTGCATCACAGGAATAAATTACATTTTAATATATTTTAAACTAAAATACACTTATTTTAAATTGTAATTTTTATTTTTTTTTTTGCAGTAAAGTTTTTACTGCATTCTTGATCAAATGCAGCCTTGGTGAGCATAAAACAACTGTTTTCAATAATATTTCAAAAATCTTACAACCCCTAAACTTTTGAACGCTAGTCTACATTCATATACATTTTAAACTAAAATAGTGATATTTGAAGTTTTATATATGGATTTAGTTCTGACTCAGATGCTGCTTATGGAAATGGCACCATCCACACTTTCTATCTGTACAGGTAGGATTGGTGTGGGTCAAAAACAGAGAAAAGCTCATTTGCATACCGCACAGCTGTCCCGCAGGGCATCAAACTTGCGTTGGATTTCATCCCGATGGGCCTTAAAAAAAAGAAACGAAATGAGAGTGAAAATTGCCATGTTTGCAAGAAGTGCTCACTCTGCCAGAGTGCTGCGTGGAGTTCTGCAGTAAAGTGCATTTGAGCAGATAGCAGCGGCGCTGTGAAATGAACTCGAGTGTCATGACGGGTGTGATGTCATGCATGAGAGCAGCGGGTGCGAGGATGAAACCGTGTCATAGATGCATTGAAACGCGTTATACATTTTTATATATATCATATTATTTTATATTAGTATACAATTATATATTCATATTTTTTACCTTTTCATTCATGTAAAATACTAAATCAACTATCAACTATTCCATTTCAATCTTTAGACATTTTTAAATGTCAAATTATTATTATATAAGCCACCTTACCTCACTACCTTTCAATGTATGCATTACTTTTAATATTATTCTTATATGATCTTATATTATTATACTTCAAAATTATAAGTGTCTTTAAAGTAAAATACTAAAAAACGGTTTTATTTATTTATTCATTTATTTTTACATTTATTTGAATAACTGAATAACCAATGTCAGATAAAGCAGAATCCCACTAAAAGAGATTCATCTGAAAGGTAAATTATTATATGACTTATGTAAAGGAATATGAATATATACGTTTAATTTCTCATATTTAAGTAACAATATTCCATAACAGCAACACTGTTATTTCAAACTGAATGATTTCACTCAGTTATCCTATACGGATGTCTAAAATGAAAAACCCAATAAATTACAGTAAGTATTAAAAAATAATAATAACATAAGATGCCACTTGGGGCCTTCTGGGTCTAATGTTATCTTTTCATTAAAAATCAATACAATATTTTGCACTCCATAAATCCATAAAACAACGTGCCCACATTAGCAAACAGACACACACACAAAACCTTTGATATTCAAATTAATATAATTATTTTATATATTTTCTATATACGTATTTTCTAGAAAAATATTAACCTCAAAACTGTTTCAAATGACTAAATCTCACAAATTCTGATATTCAGATGAAATGACAAAAATATTAAGAGCATATCTATTCATTGAATAAGATTTATGCCATCTATGATCAAGAGAAACTTTAAAAAAAAACATCTTAGCAACCACAGCACAACACCCTAGCATTGTTTTTAGTGTTGCGCAGGCATTGAATATGCAAATAAAAGTGCAAAGGAATACAATGTTATTTTATACCCTTACTATACAAAATACAGCTCAAAAATTGAGAAGATCAAAGCATGTTTGGTGGAAAGAAGCCGTCACCAGGGGCTGGGATCATAAGAGCTTACGAAAGACCGATCGAAGAGCAAACGCTGCTCTCCTGTCTGTCTGTCTGTCTGTCTGTCTGTAGTCCCACCATCAGCAAAACTCACCGAGACTGACAGCGAGGCTTCAGACACTTTAAAGCTGGGAATAACTATTACTAGCACTCACACAATCCCTTAGCCATAAGTGTGAGCAATAGTAATAACTATGCTTGACTTGCCATACATACAAAAACAAGTCCATATGTTTTCATTTTAATAAGAATGAAATTCGAATTTCCAAGTTTATACGTTCATCTGAGCTCCAGTTATGATTGCAAAGGAGTATGATGAAGGAAAAATGTAATTTAACTCCTCGGCACGGTGGAGAAGATGGGCGTCTAAAAACAGCGCTGGGACCGGGTGAGAATATTGCATCGGTGGAGGCGCTCAAACAGCTTGAGTGTGGGTGGACAGTGAAAGTAGGGCAGAGATGCTCTGTGCTTGATAAGAATGAAACACACTCCAGGGGCAACGCAAACAAAAGCACTTCAAAATGCAACCGTTCCCCAAATCAATGACTGCTGGAGGAGCAACTTTCAGGATGCTTGAAAACAGATGCATTTGAAAATAAAATGGTGGACAGCATTACTTTCCACTAACAAAAATGACACAAATTTGTATAATAACATGAGTATGACATAGGTATTACAACGAGAAGGTGATATATGAGGACATTTTCAGTGTCCCCATAATTCAAAAGGATTATAAATAATTCAGAATGAGTTTTTTTGAAAATCTAAAAATGCAGAAAGTTTCCTGTGAGGGGTAGGTTTAGGGGTAGGGTTGGTGTAGGGCAATAGAAAATACGGTCTGTACAGTAGAAAAACCATTACGCCTATGGAGAGTCCCCATAAACCATAAAAACAAACCTGTGTGTTTGTATTACAACAATTTGAAATAACTATTTTCTGTGATCCAAGCTGAATTTTCAGAATCATTACTCCAGTCTTCAGTGGCACACGATCCGTCAGAAATCATTCTTTTTTTGAAGTTGCTTTGGATAAAAGTGACAAATGCAAAAAATATATAAAATATAAATATATATTTTTCAATATCTTGGTAAATGGGTTGCATGACATGATTTATTAAACTGCAACAGCAGTGTGACATGCTATTCTTCATCTAAAATTATTTTAAATTATACTTTTCTAATTATTTTATAAATGTCAAGAGTACATGCCATTTTTATGAGCTCCTTTTAATTAAGAGATTATTTGTCACCCTGCTGGGCTATTTAAATGAATTGAAAAAAGCTTGATTAAAATAATACAGATCTAGTCACTGATCCAAAAGACACACTTTACCCTTTACACTTCAAGTTTTTTTTTTTAAAGACATTAATACTTTTATTCAGCAAGGATGCATTAAATTAAATCAAAAGTGACAGTAAGCAATTTTTTTTAAATGTGTTACAAAATATTTATATTGCACATAAATGCTGTTCTGCATGTTCTGCTGTTCTGTTAATCATAAATGTTTTTGAGCTGCATATTAGAATGATTTCTGAAGGATCATGTGACACTGAAGACTGGAGGAATGATGCTGAAAAATCTGTTTTGCATCACAGGAATAAATTACATTTTAATATATTTTAAACTAAAATACACTTATTTTAAATTGTAATTTTTATTTTTTTTTTTGCAGTAAAGTTTTTACTGCATTCTTGATCAAATGCAGCCTTGGTGAGCATAAAACAACTGTTTTCAATAATATTTCAAAAATCTTACAACCCCTAAACTTTTGAACGCTAGTCTACATTCATATACATTTTAAACTAAAATAGTGATATTTGAAGTTTTATATATGGATTTAGTTCTGACTCAGATGCTGCTTATGGAAATGGCACCATCCACACTTTCTATCTGTACAGGTAGGACTGGTGTGGGTCAAAAACAGAGAAAAGCTCATTTGCATACCGCACAGCTGTCCCGCAGGGCATCAAACTTGCGTTGGATTTCATCCCGATGGGCCTTAAAAAAAGAAACGAAATGAGAGTGAAAATTGCCATGTTTGCAAGAAGTGCTCACTCTGCCAGAGTGCTGCGTGGAGTTCTGCAGTAAAGTGCATTTGAGCAGATAGCAGCGGCGCTGTGAAATGAACTCGAGTGTCATGACGGGTGTGATGTCATGCATGAGAGCAGCGGGTGCGAGGATGAAACCGTGTCATAGATGCATTGAAACGCGTACTGCAGAAGAGCGTGGGAAGATGTTTACAGCACTGTGAAGAAGAGGAACACAATGGTCCACTGAGAGATTCGCCACATGATCACTCATTACGACTGAATGATATAAAGGAGATGCGTGGAGTCTGTGAAATGGTGATATGAAATGATATGGATTATATCGACTGCTGATCCTTCAGAAGCTACTTTGAAACTTTAGCTTGCCAAGATGCAAACTTCTTAGTTACACTACTGTTGAGCTGCCTTTTGCTTAAGTTACTTACAAAAAAACTACTGCATTATATTTGATACGGAAATTTCAAAGGTCTCTAAATGATCAAGATGATCAAAACTTTGCTGAAAAACCTGTTGAACTCAATCGACTTTTTTATCAAGTAAAAGTCTTTTAGTATAATTGTACAAACGTCCACCTTCTGCTCGTGCTTCACGTGTCATTTTGCTGTGAAACTGTTATTGATTTTTATAAAGTGAACATAACAATGACTTTGATATTGTTAGTAATATTTCAAGATGAACACTTATTGGTTTGAAGCAACTTAGTTTCACTTTATTATCCAGACATCATCATCCAAAAATCAGGTTCAAATGTATCAAATGGGTCAAATATCACCATAGAGTGCCTTTCACCTCTCAAAATACTCAAACATTTTGGTTTTAATTTCCCATTCACTTTATGTCATGTCATAAATAGTAGACACTCAAGTACTATAGAAACATATTAGCTGAGCTCCCACACATTTTTTAGATAATTATGGGCCATTATTCGAAGCATAAACCATAAGATATGTCCACCCTGTTATGGACATATATGTTACTGTTAAATACGTTTTCATTGCAAACTTAAAATGCAAATTATATTTTCTGAAAGGCATGATGTCCCATTCCTAAACAGGGTTATATGTTATTTGCTTTCAAATTATAAATACATAAAATATTTTATGTAAACCATGTGTTTTTAAAGAAACTCAAACAATTTGCACATGTATTTTTTTTCTTATTTGGAGAAAACTGTGATATTTGGATGCAGTTTTTTGTTTGCGTGTTATTGCCCCCACACCTAGCTATTGAACACACTGGATTATATAGATATGATTGAATTATTATTTAAAATATTATTGTAAAATATCAAGATGACAGGGTGGACCGGCACATGACGGGGTGGACACAAAAAGCAGAACACACAAAGAAACATTTATTCAACGTCTAAAAAAATAATATAATAATAATAAATAATATAATTACATCCTCAATCACATTGATATACCCCCAGATTCATTTTAGTTTTTAGCAATATCAACTACAAATGAATGTTTTGTCCACTCTATCGAGTCTAATTGGCCGACAGGGTGGACATTTTGAACTTCAATTAGCATATTAGCTTACAAAAAACTGACTAGCTAAATATTTAGTCTGGTTGTTGAAGAAAATTTGTCAATTGAAAAGTCACCAACTTATTCACATTGAAATTCCCGCCACTGAAGAGACAAAAAAGCTGTTGTCCTGATGTCACTAAAGGGGATGGGCTTTTCTTAAAGGGGCAGATTCCCCATTACGACAGGGTGGACAACCATTCAAGGGACATGGACAAACTCTTCTTTTTTATTAAATAAAAATATAGTTTTTATTACCAAATGATCAATACACTCAAATTGAGTAATCTCTTATTTAACAAAATATTAACAGGAGAACAAAATTTTAAAATTTTATGATTTGACAACATTCTACTATCATTCAAATTTAATGAGCAGTGCATGGGACATAGCAAAATAACACGCATCCTCTTAGACAAAACTACAACAACAAAAAAATCTAGAAAATGTATCTAAAGAGCCAAGTAATGCTTTTGTTATGAATATAAAAACTTAGCCTAATATAACACACCCTTTCATGGTCATTTTTATGTTAAGTTATCATGGCAAATTAGTTATTTATGTACAGGACATCAAAAGGCACCCTACAGTGATACTGACCCAAATATGATCACCAGGCTTTTAAGAAACGTTTATTTGTTCATCACTCAATCCTCATTGTATTGTATTGCATTGCATTACATGTTTTGATAATAAGCTACCTAAGCATTTAAATATAATCTTATTGGCTATATAGAGTGAGGACTGATATTTAAATCATTTTGTTTCTGCTATATGTGACCCTGGAGCACAAAAGCAGTTTTAAGTCGCTGGGGTATATTTGTAGCAATAGCCAAAAATACATTGTATGGGTCAAAATTATAGATTTTTCTTTTATGACAAAAATCATTAGGATATTAAGTAAATATCATGTTCCATGAAGATATTTTGTAAATTTCCTACCGTAAGTATATCAAAACTTAATTTTTGATTAGTAATATGCATTGCTAAGAACTTCATTTGGACAACTTTAAAGATGATTTTCTCCATATTTCGATTTTTTGAACCCTCAGATTCCAGATTTTCAAATAGTTGCATCTCGGCCAAATGTTGTCCTATCCTAATAAACCATACATCAATGGAAAACTCATTTATTTAGCTCTCAGATGATGTATAAATCTATACATATGGTTGGTTTTGTGGTCCAGGGTCACATATTGTTATAAAGATCTCATTGATTTACAAGCATCAGAATTTCATACTTTTGGCCATATAAACGTCAGCATCTGCATCAAATTGAATATTTTTGCTCTGTTTGGGCCACTGAACAAAACCAGGGGTGTTATTTTCCTCCTTAAGTATGTTTTATTCCTCCATATTCTCACTATATTATACAAGTCATAAAAGCCTGATAGATTGAATATGATACTCAACAATAAAAAACACACATGCAAACTTTCTTCTTTTAGAATTTAGGTTCAATAAACGGTTTCATCCTCCATACAGTATGTATAGAACTAAATCCCATTTATTTATTGCTGTACTCTGCCTACTATTTTATAAAAAGTAGTGTGTGAAACAGCATGGCTCTAAAAGGCATTTTTAACTGCTAATCTCAGTCAAATACAATTGCGGGGACCAATTCTCATTATTAACTATGACTTTTGCCTAAATAAACTCCTAATTTGCTGCTTATTAATAGTTAGTAAGGTAGCTAAGTTTAGATATTTGGTAGGATTAAGAGATCAAAAATAGGATCATGCAGAATAAGGCATTAATATACAGTATGCTTTATAAGTACTAATAAAAAAGTATAAGTACTGCATGCTAATATACAACTGGTTAATAGTAAGAATTGGTCTCCAAACTAAACTGCTACCTTCTAAATGATGAGGGAAAGGAAAGAGATGGATTGGATCTGGATCATGGTCACTTCAGGTTCATTCATCACAATGTAATCTCTCACCCGGAGGACGGTGATCTCCTCCTCGGCCTCCGCGGTCGTCTCCTCCAGCTCGGTCTTGGCCTGTCGTAGCTGGCTCTCCAGTGAGTGCCGGGCCGCCTGCAGGCTGCTGATCTGTGCTTCTCTCTCCTGCAGGGACAGCGTGAGCTCCGACACCTGTCTCTTGATCTCCAGCTTCTGCTCCTCGTGCTCCAGACCCATCTGTGGAGGAACACACAGCAGGACCGTAGTTACTGGGTGATCAACACCACTCCAGTGCATTGATTAACGTCTTGTGAAGCCAAAAGCTGTGTGTTTGTAAGAAACGAATCCATCATGAAGACGTTAATAACTTTAAACCATTGCTTCCTGCTAAAATACAAGTACTCTATCCATAATACTGTTTCCTCCAGTGAAAAAGTTGTCTGGTCTGAATCAGGTCTGAAGTCTGCACAGATCAAGCACTGTTTACAAGCCAAAACAGACTTATCAATTTTAAACAAATATTTGGGTGGATTTTGATTTTGACAAGAGGAGACAGACTTTTTCAGTGTTATTATGAATTATGGCATTATGGCCAGAAGTGATGGTTTTAAGTTAAAATGCCTTGCGCACTCTGACAAACAAACGGAGTTGCTACTGCCTTACAATGACAGCTGTCAGTGTGAAAACCTTGTCCCAAGATGTTTTTGGACACGGAAGGACCATCATTTAAGTGGGACTTAAATATGATATGGAGGTATATGCTGTATACGATATTTCAAAATAAATATATAAAAATACAGATTACAATGCAAACAGGAGAAGTCTCATGTTACGGTCATTACAATTACAATGACAACATCTCGGATCAACACAGTTCATGTACTGCAGGGTAAGATTAAATTAATTTACATTTAACCAGTTTATTATGCTTTTTCACTTTTTTAATTTTAGTCAGTGTGTATGTTTGGGCATAAAAAAGATCTAGAAAGTTACAAATCTCAAAGTCCACTCCAAAGGGAGATATTTCATTTTTAAAAAATCCCTTTTCAAGAGCTACAATGAACGGCTCGTTTGGACTACAGCGTTTGTTTTCCGGGCTTTGTGATATCACAAAGCGGCTCATTAGAATATCATTAAAAAGAATTCCCGCCTACAGAAATTCGAATGGTTTGGGGTTGGGGAGGGGCGAGGTCATGGTTCGAACGCTTGGTTGAGTGACTGCATCAGACGAGACGACGAAGAAGAAGTGCTGCTGCAGAGTTAGTGCATCAGAGAAAACCAAGAAGAAGAGCTGCTGTGCTGTAGCGTCAAATTTTCGGCATGTCTAGAACAATTCTTACAAGTACAACACGACGTAGCTGGGTGCCGCGGACAGACGCCGAACGGTGTGCCTACACTCATAGAAAATAATGTATTCCAATTTTAAAGAAGTGGCGTGGTGCGACGCGATGCTGCGCTTCTCGTCCAGTGCGCGACCGCCTGAAACGCTGTTTTTTTTTCACCTCCATGCCCAAAACGTCTTTGTTTGGGCTTCCGAAAGACGATGATGTCAGGAAACAGTGGTTGCAATTTATATTTTTAACTCTGTTCCTGAGCATTATAACCCCAATTTGCTATTGTGTGATGCGCATTTTACTGAGGACAGCTTCCACAACACGAGGGAGTACAG